CTGGAAAATCGGGCAGCAAGGAACTACGTCACCTATTTCTCTGCCACAGCTTGGCACTAAGGAGTCATCAAATCGGAAATAACTTTCTAATTTTAATCAACATTTTATATTTCATTCCAGTTGCACAGAAGTACACATTGCTGCAAGTTTAAGGAAAAAATGGCTCTGCAAGAGGATTCTTTTTCCACCACCTCCCAACCAAATTCTAAACCATTCTTTAAGAGCCAGCCTGAGTCCCCCTTCCATGGACTCTTCTCTGTTGCTTCAGCCTATATCAAACTCTCTTTGTTGGACATATTTGTATGCTAAGTCCAGACCACACAGGGTAGCACTAAATTGTTCTTAAGGGTCAGTATGTTCTGTTGGGGTCTCCAAGGTTCCCCTCAATAAATAGCTCTTTAGTTCTCAGACTGAGTTCTGAACAAATGGAGACCTAGACCAAACGGTTGACTGGCAGAGTCCAGTTATGACCTTTACTGTTGACTGAGCCAAACTGGAGGATGTACTAGAGACTGAGGGTCAAACCAGCCTTTACCTGCATTAGGAAAATGCACCTCTTCCTCATGGGCTTGTCCCCAGAGTCACCCCACTCCAACTGAGTCACTCTGCTTCTTGTGGGGATGACAGGAAGAGGAACAGCCTTGGATGTGTTTCAGGAGAAGTCCTCCCCCTGCAAACCAAGAAGTGGCGAAAGGCCCACCCTTCTAGCAAGGTCTTCCCATGTCAACTGCAGACTCTTTGAGGGCAGGGCCCACATCTTCAGCTTGTGATGCTTGCTCTGTAATACTGAGAAGGATGGGCGCATAACAGCTGTGTGACAGTAGAAATTCCAGGGTCTGGTCTAGTCACTTTCCAGATGTGAGCCTAGTCAGTCCTGATGACAGCCCTGTGAAGCAGCTGGTACTAACACTGATGTTTTCGCGATGAGAACACTGAGGCACAGAGCTCACGCAGTCAGTAAGTGGTAAACCCAGTCTGGCGTCAGAGTTCATGCTCTTAACCACGATCTGATACTGGCCTGATTGAATTTCAAGGGCAACAGTGTTGGTAGAAATGGAGACTGTGAGAGTTCAGGAGCTGGACAGAAACAGCTTCGTTAGTATCCAGTTAAGGGAAGTTCTGTAACAACTAATGTTCAGAGACAATCGTTGGAGAAGATTCTACAACACATTTCCTTTTTTCTAAACTGCCAAAGTCTATCAGAACTCCTGTGAAACAATCAGTTATGTACTACTACATGAACTTGGAAGAAAGTCTGTTAATTCATCCTGCTGAAATCATTTCTTTAGGTAATGCTTAGTCACGAGCGCAGAAATGAATCAAAGTAGTCACATCTGATTGAAAAAGAAAACTAGGCTCAGATTCTCTTGTTGCTCATATGATTAAACTGCAATTTGTTTTACAGTGGATAAGGAAGTTTTCCTTTATTTCATTGTTTTACAAAGTGGTGTGAAAGTTAAAATCCTGTCCAAATATTGTATTTGACCCCATGGCTTTACATCGTACCTATTTGTGTGATTTCAGTCTGAATCCTAAAGTAAAAAATAAATATCCTTCACGTCTTTTGTCTGTTTACCACTAGAGGGCACTATCTAGTCTTTTATCTGCGGAAAAACACGCCCTAAGTGCTCTGCTTTGTTTCCTCTGTTTCTTACAGAGAAAGGAGACATAAAAGACTGTTAATACTCTGTCTCAGATTTATTATCATGAGATCATCTAAAGTAGAAATAAATTTCAAGTCAAACCCACCAGTACGCGTTATTTGGTGGAGACCACCATTGATTTGGGGCCCACTGCGGGCCTAACACAAAAGTGCGAGATGCTTTACATACATGACCTCTGAATCCCGTATCATTACCCTCATTTTACAGATGAGGAATTCCAAGCTTAGGAAAGTCAGATAATGTCCCTAAGGTCACACAACTGCACAACAACCACTTAATTTAGGTTGTGAACCCAGATCAGGATTGAATAAAAAAGACTTTTCATGATGCCATGGACTGATTTCCTGAGCTAGGAAGAGGCCCAGGGGGTTTCTTCCACCTGGTGGTAGGACGTTTGGCAGTTCACGTGGATGATGGTATGTTATTAGGAGTTAAAGATAAATGATAGCAGCAACTCTAGAAGTAATTTATAACTAAACAGAGTCTAGCAAAACAGCTGTCTAGATGTACTAGACCCTTGTTTTAAATTCCACATCATCTAATTTGTCCCCACCCTGTTTGCTTGAATGTAATTAGTGGGATCATTTAAGGGGCCACATGAAACAAGACAGTTTACTCCATAAAGAAATTGTGTTTCTGCCTTAGACCTGACCTCCGGCTGACCTTCATCATCTACTCTCTTTTGGGTGATCAAGATAGAAGTGTAAAGGCCTAGAAAAGGCACCATTTTTAGTTGTAGTGTCTATGGGTCTTGACAGTACAATTTCTGTTGTGAAGTGGTGCTATAATGACTCCCCATTTTTCCACAAACATGGCTGCATCTGGCAATGATGTGCGTGCTGTTTATCCCACGTGCTGAATAACGACTCCCTCGGAACTGATCAGACGTGCACTTTAGACCATCAGTGTTCATAAAAATCATTCCCAATATTGTCCTGAACCTAAACCTGTTCCCAAAGATCTTAATGAGCTTAGAATGATCATCATGCCCTTGCATTTCCTGGTCTAGGTGCTGTTTCGTAAGGTGCTTATATTATTTTCACATGAGGAGATGGAAAATAAAATTTCAGTCCTGACCTTACCAATTCTATATAGAAAAAGACACCCCGAGTCATCCTGTATGAAACACATCCTACTCGGAGATAAAACTACTTAAACCTTCCTCTTCAAGGATAGAAATAAAGAACCCATGCTGTCAGGGAGGAAAGTTGCATACAGGACCAAGAGTGATCATTTTTGTTCTGTAGTCTTCGGCTGCCAAGCCATTTCCTTAGTAATTCTGTGAAATGTAACGTCATAGAGCTAAAACATCTGAAGAAAGAAAAAGTATATGGACACTTAATATAATCCATACTTATTCCAAACACTCATTTCAACCAAGTTAGACATCAGGCACTTTCAACCTAGAATGTCTTCAAATAGGATCAAGTTTTTAATTCCCCTTTCTCTTCTTGGAGCAATCTTAGAGCAGCTGTTGTTCCCAAATGAGTTTGTTAAGGGAGCTCTGTTTTTTTAAGTTATTACATTATTCTAAAGATACATAAGCTAGTTAATTCCATTAACTAAGAGCCTCTGAAAGAGCAATAGCATCTAAGAATTTTTTTTATTATTGAAATATAATTCTTTGCTGTACACCTGAAACTACCATTATAAATCAACTACACTTCAATAAAAAAAATTTTTAATGCTACTATGAAAAGAACTGAAAAAAAGAAATTGTTGACATACAATATTGTTAGTTTCAGGTGTACTACATAGTGATTTGACATTTGCATATGTTACAAAACAATCACCAGAAGTCTAATAACCCTATGTCTCCACTCAAAGTTATTACAATGTTATTAACCATATTCCTTCTGCTGTATATTATATCCCTGTGGATTATTTATTTTATAACCCCCTTCCCCTCTGGCAATCTAAAAAACAAAAACAGCTCACACACAGACTCATAGATAAAGCATCTGAGAATTTAAAGATCTGTTTGCAGGAGCACAGCCTGTGGGCAGAGCTGTTCCATCACAATCTCTGTGCAAGAAACAGACCCAAGCGTGCATGAGAGATAGACCCAATTACGGTCTATTTTGGTCACTGACATTCCATGGCCTCAGGCCTCTCTCCAGGGCCTGAGATTCAGTCTTTCTTAGCCAAGGCAACAACAGCTGTGTTTGACAGAAGCAAGAACCAAATCTCAGCTGATCAGGTGACTCAAATTTTTCATTCTGATGAGTTGAGAAAACAAACCAGCTCACCAATTCCTGGGGAATTCTACATCACTTTTGAAGCTTCAAGATCAATTATTGTAAGTGGAATAAGTGGAATATGAATAAGTGAATATCATTTTAAACTCTTTTTAATTTTGAAATGATTGCAGATTCACATGCCGCTGTAAAAGAAAGTTCTCTCTGCCCTTTTCTTGTTTACCTCCAGGGGCAACATCTTGCCGGACTCTAGTCCAATACTGCAGTCAAGACACAGAGCTGAATATGATTTCCTAGGAAAATAAAACTCCAGGAAGCAGGCCAGTGGTCTCTTTATCTAAGACCTGTCAGTGGTAGCAGGGACACTATGGGGGAAGAGAGTGGTAGTTTCTCTCTCTGAGAGAATCCTTAAAACTTAAATGGACCCGAACACTTGCAGTTATTTTAAATCACTTCTAAGAGACAGATGGTCATGAACACATCTAATTCTTGTCTCTGAGCACCTTTAACTCTGCCCTTGCAGAGCCACTGTCTGCCCTCCTCTGTTGTGCCCCTGGGGGCTGCAGGGAGCTGACTTGTATGGTTGGCACCAGCGGACTCCTGGGCCATCTGGCCCCCAGGCGGGTTTGTCAGAACCCCAGCTGGCAGGAGGAGAGTGAAGCCAGTGTGTGTTCCCTTGGTCCTGCTGAGCGTCCTCAGATCGTTGTGTCCCTCGGCTCCTGACGGAGGCTCTCTCCACGAAGCTCCCCTCTCCAAGCACCAGCACGCCCTCCCTGCCCTCACCCCTGCTAGCCTGGTGGCCAGTGGTGCCTCATAGTCCCTGCCGGTGCCCCTCATCCAGACCACGATTCTGTCAAGAGTCCCTTCCTCAAATTGTTTGCTGTCTCTCCCCTTGAGTCTGCCATCCGTTTTCTCCCGACACTCCAACCATAACATTCAGCAGCCACCACCTTCTTCCTGTCTCTCTCCTCTTTCTTGCCTTATGGATCCTGGTCTTTCTACTCAGAGATGGAGAGGAGGTCGAGAATGAAACCCGAACATTTAAAAGGAGAGCCGTGGTAACGAGGAGAGAATAGAATGCATGGGGGAGACTCTCAGTCTGATTCCTAGCTTGTCAGTGCCATTGTTTGTATTCCAGAAGCTTCTTTCTGGAGGCCCAGAGAAGCCAAAAACTCAGCACGTGATGGTGAATGCTGTGATGAGCGATCTGGATACCTCCTGAGGAATCAAGGACTGAATCACCCAGCTGGTGAGAATATTGTCTGAAAGCAACCTTCAGCTGACCTCCCTCCTCGGGGCGCCTCTGCTGGAGAGAAAGGCCTCACCTGAAGTCGTGCCTCCGGCGAGCGGCCCGCGCCCGTGACTGGCCGGTGAGTCAGATGTAAGGGCCTGGCCCCCTGGGCCCAACTTAGCACAACTCTTATTCCTTACCTATGGCCACGTAACAACCCCAAAGCTAGCAATTTAAAACCCTTACTATCTCACATTTCTGGGGGTCAGGAGTGCAGGAGGGCCTCAGGTTCTGTCTCAGGATTTCCCACAAGGTCACAGTCAAGCCCCCAACGAGGGCCGCAGTCCTCTGAAGGGCCTAGAGGGCCCACTTCACTATAGGCAGAAGCCTCCATCCCAGGGCCCCTCCACAGGGTGGCTCGCCACCCGGCAGTAACTACTGTGTCAAAATCCCCTTCTCCATGGAAAGAGGATTTCCTGCATGACTTCAGCCCAATGCTCTAACTTTTGGGTCCTCTCAGTTATTACTATGGTTACTTCCAGCTTTAAAACAATGACTTCCTATCCCCAAAATTCAGTGAGTTTGTTTCAAAGCTCTAGTTTCATTCCAATTAATGTCTCTCTTCTCTCCCACCTCCTCTCCTGACCCCTGTTGAGGAATAAGGGTGTGGGTGTGGTCTGGTCCATGCTCGCCTGTCTTCCCATCACACACCTGGCTGGTAATGGTCAGGGCCGAGGGGTAAGGAAGGGGGAGACCCTGGTAGCACGGGTGCTGGACACAGCTCAGTGCCCCATAACTGTCCAGACAGGGACTGGCACGTCAGAGACCCACACACCTGTGAGCAGTTCTCTTGTCTGCTCCCTCCCTCGGCTTTGAGGGTGAGAGGCAGCCAGACCCACCCACCCTTGTTCTGGGGAGTGAATGGCCTTCTCCCTTTCAACCTCATATTAGGGTGTGAGGCAGTGCTGGTTCTGCTTCCCAGTTTCTCTTAGCAAGCCTTGTCGAGGATGAATGATCCCAACAGCCCTTGGGGGGCCCAGCTTGTTGTCCTGGTGCTCAGTGTGGGTGGATGGAGGCTGACAACGTTGTCTGACAACGGGTTTGTTCCCAAGCAGCAACTCTAAGTGTTCAGGCTCCCTCCTGAAAGAACATTGTTCTCAACTTCAGGCCCAGCCCCTGAGCTGGCAGCCACGTGTCTCTCCCATTCCTCTTTGCCCAGTGCTGTGGCTTCCCCAGAAAAAACCAAACTTCCCAATATGATCTACTCACCACAGCCAACTTCTGTGTCTTCAGGCACATGTGGGATCCATGTTCCAAACCTCTTGGGTGTTAAGTGGGACAGTCTTGACCCTGCTCCACTTGGCTGTCCCCCATGGTACCATGTCTTCCCAGTGTCCTTTTCTGCTATCCCGGTAGCAGGGGGGCTGGACACTGAGCCCAGTGCCCCATAACTGTCCAGACAGGAACTGGCACATCAGAGACCCACACACCTGTGAGCAGTTCTCTTGTCTGCTCCCTCCCTTGGCCTTGAGGGTGAGAGGCAGCCAGACCGACCCACCCTTGTTCTGGGGAGTGAATGGCCTTCTCCCTTTCAACCTCATATTAGGGTGTGAGTCGGTGCTGGTTCTGCTTCCCAGTTTCTCTTAGCAAGCCTTGTCGAGGATGAATGATCCCAACAGCTGTGATTTGCGGAATTTAGAATGTGGCGATTTAGCTCATCTGATCCTCAGCTGTGAGCTTTAGGATAGCCTTAGTCACCAATACTTAGCAGCTGTCACCCATGTTTAAAAGTAATCATCTTTGTCCCAGTCACACTCAGATCCTTGTTACCTATCTTGGTAAAAGTTATCACCATCTTCCCTATAGGGTGATCAACTGCCCTGGGATGAGGGAGCTTCAGTACTGAAAGCTCATCCGAAAGGTGAGTGAACCTACCTCCCAACTTCAATTACTCCAACCAGAACCTGTTGTTACCAGAGAGTAGGTTCTTGTCTCAATACAGAAGGAATTCAGAGATGAGACACAGAGGTCAAGAAAGTAAAGTGATGATTTATTAAGTGATAAGATGCTCTCAGTGAGGGAGCAGGCAGACTCAGGTGAGCAGCTGCCCTGAGTGTCTTTGACAAGCTGGTTACATAGGGTATAAAAATGAATGGGCAGAATATTCATTTGAGAGGGAGGGGTTTGGGGTTGTATTCCCTGATTTCCATCCCAGTTCCACCTACCGGAGAGGAGGAGGGATTTTTGTCCTTATTTAGGCTGAATCAGAAGTGTCGTGGCATTAGTGCTTGATGGGTACTTCTAATCTGCAAGGCTAATTTTATTGTAAGGAGGGCATAATGAGCAAAAGGTTACATTCGGACGCTGGAGATTCCTGCCTTTTCCCACCTTTCTTTGCATCCAGAACACTTGTTACTCCGAAATGTGTGATTTCTTATCAGTCCTGAGGTTCCCGCTTTTCTTTATCTGCCCAAGGACCCCTGTTGTTCACAAGATGTATGGTTTTTTGCCCGTTGGCCCGTGTCCCCCTTTCTCTGCTCATACCTAGCTATCTGCCTGCTCTAACATTATGAGTGGTTTAATTCCTATCTTCATGGCTCCTGCTCTGCTACTTAGTAATGTTGTTCCTCTACTGTTAACAGCCCATGTATCTGTGCCTCCTTTTCCATTCTGCAACTATCGTAAGCTACTGATTCTCAACCTTCATTTCTGACTAAAATCACCTGGGATTTAAAACTACTGATGTCTGGATCCCATGCCCAGAGATTCTGATTCAAATGGTCTGGGGTGGGTCCTGGACAGTTACCGGGTGATTCTCCTGTACATTCTCCCACCCCAATGTCTGCTAATCTAAATAATCTTCCTGACCCCAGCATCACCTCCTCTCATCCATCCTTCACACTGTAGCCAGTGTTATCTTTCCAAAACACAAAGATGACCCTGTCACTGTCCTACTTAAACTCCCTTCTGGGTCCCCACTGCTTTCAGGATAAAGCCTTAACTCCTCATCATGACAGAGGGGGAGCAGCGCATGGGAGACACAGCTGGAGAGGGAGGCAGGGGTCGGTTCACGCAGGACCTGGACTCTTGGGCTGAGCTACTTGCATGGCTTCACATCCACCATGCTTCACAGAAACACTCTCTTTTCCTTGTTTAAAAACTACTCACTGAACACCTACTGAGTGCGAGGCAGTAGGGATCAGCGATGAATGAAGCCGTCACAGTCACAGACCTCATCCCCCAGAGCTAGTAGGTTAGATCACTACAGCAACCACAGCCCAGGGAGAGTGTCTGTGGGAATATTCTCAGAGAGATTTACAAGACATAAAATAATGGTTGTCATTTACAGATACCAGGCCTTGTATTTATACCTGACCTCATAGAGGGTGACCAGCCATCGTAGTCTGCCCAGAATATCTCAGTCTGAGCACTAAAAGTCCCGTGTCCCAAGAAGCCCCTCAGGCCTGGGCAAACCAAGCCTGCTGGTCACCCTACATCTTTATCTCATTTAATCTTCAAAACAGTTGTAAGTGGTGGGCACTATAACCATCCCCATTTTACAGATGGGGAAGCTGAAGCATAGAGGAGTTAAGCAAACTGACCAAAACACCCAGACTAGAAAGTTGCAGAGTTGGTATTCAAACCCCTGTCTGTCTACACATGTTTGCTTTCAAAGTCTACTTTCCTCATTGTTGTTTTTCACCATGAAATCACAGTCCTTAGAGGTTCAGTTATTTCTTCCTTGTCCCAGGGATAAAGTTTGTTCATGAGCTGAGTGCCATAAGAGCCTATTTAGAATTTCCTAGCAAATTAAAAAAAAATTCCACAAGAAATTAACTGTAACTCATTTGATAGCAACAGAAAACTAAAGCCACATTGAATTCTCCAAGGCTTTGAACGTTGCTTGGAGAATTTGAGAATACTGGGCTTGGGGAGATGAAACAAGAGCACAGGGAAATTCCACCCATTGGAAGAGTGGTGCTTCAGGAGAATGGTATGTGCCTGGCAGCTGCTTTACAGAGACTGGCAACCCCAGTATAGCATTTCACAGAGGGACTGTCCCATCCAGTCAGATCCATCCGGGTAAATGAAGAAAGAAGATATGCTTCCCTGGCCTGCTGTTTAGCCAAGACGGCTCATTTGATTTTTCTCACTAATAAACTCTGAGCTTAAATGAAATTCTGGGTTGCATCTACAGTTCAAATTGGAATATAATTTGCAATGCACTGAATTTAAGCTTTTGGGGGGAAAAGTTATTTGTGCTTATTGCATTTTATAAATCATAACCTCTTGGGATTGTTGGTCCTGAAATTTAGATTTCTTTGGAATAACCCAATAGAATAAAGATGGGACATGTTCATCGAATGAGTAAAATATTTTTGCATATGTTGAAACTTCCTTGTGACCCTGAAGTAAATCCAACTTGATCATGGTGTGTGATCCTGTTTATGTATTGTTGGAAACCAAAATATTTGGTTTGCTAATGTTTTGCTGAGGATTTCTGCATCTATATTCCTCAATGATATTGGCCTATAATTTTCTTTCTTTTAAAATTTTTTTTTCATTTTTGTAGCATCTGTATATTTTGGTATCAAGATAAGGCCTTCTAGAATGAATTTGGGAGTGTTCCCTCCTCTTCAATTTTTTTGAAGTTTGTGAAGGATAGGTATAAGTTCTTCTTTATTTATATGTTTAGTAGAATTCCTCTATGAAGCCATCCATTTTGTTTGCTCGGAGTTTTTTAGTTTTTGTTTTTATTACAGATTCAGTTCTACTTCTAGTGATCAATCTGTTCCAATTGTCTGTTTCTTCTTGACTCATTTTTTGCAGGCTGTGTGTTTCTAGAAATTTGCCCATTTCTTCTAGGCCGTTCAGTTTGTCGGCCTGTAACTGTTCATCGTATTCTTTTATGATTTTGGTATCTCTGCAGTGTTGGTTGTTATGTCTCCTTTCCTTTCTTATTTTGCTTATTTGGGTCCTCTCTCCTTTTTTCTTCATGAGCGTCACTAGAAGTTTATCAGTTTTGTTTATCTTTTCAAAAAAAACCCACCTCTTGGTTTTATTGATTTTTTTCCTATTGTCTTTTAAAATCTCTATTATATTTATTTCCTCTCCTTATTATTTGCTGACTTTGGGCTCTGTTCTTCATTTTCTAATTCTTTTAGGTAGGTTAGGTTGTTAATTTGAGACTTTTATTGCTTTTTGAGGAAGGCCTATATCGCCATGAACTTTCCTTGCTTACCCTCTTAAGCGTGTAGGAACAGGGGAAAGGAAATAGAGCTACTGGCCCACTATGGGCTGGAGCCAGAGGAGAGAGGGCAGCCTCATCAGAGCTGCAGACAGAAGGAGACAACCCCCAATCAGAACCTAGAACCTAAACAGCAAGTGCCAGAGAAAAAAATACCCCAATCTGTCTTGCCTTCCACAAGGAAACACATACACAAATATACAAATAAGAAATATATATAAATATTTAATGCAATAGGTAAGTGAGTTAAATTCATCTATTAAAAGACATATCATCAAATTGTTTAATCCAGCTACATGCTACTTCTTTCAAGAAACGCACTTATTGATACATTATAATTGACTGTACTTCAATTAAAAAGAAACACACTTAAAACAAAACTACATTGAATATATAAGAAAAAATGATGTCATGCAAATAGTAAAATAAAAAAGTGATAGTGTCAGGCAAAACAGATTTTAAGGCTAAAAGCATTAAATGGAGAGAAAAAGGGAGCCTAAATAATAATCCAATTGAGAAAAATTATAAATTTATAATCACATGATGACATAATCTGAGCATATCCAAAGTGAAAAATAGACCAGAATTTTTAAATTTTAAATCGTCCATTCATATTGAGAGATTTTTAAATGTCAATCTATGTGTTTCTAGTAGTCATAAACAAAAGAATTAAAAAGAGAAGACTATTTGAGTAACAAAATAGCAATCATACATATGTGTGTATATATGTGCATATGCATATTATTCATATACATTCTCAAATAGAAAATATTCACATAGATTATTTTCAAGTATACATGGTACGCTTAAGAAAAATTACTACATACCAGGTCATGAAGAAAATCTCAACAAATTACAAAGAATGTTATCATATAGACCATTTTCTCTTATCAAAACATATTTTTTGTATTTGTCCCTGAAGTTAGAAAACATTAATAAATAGGATGTTATAAATATATACATGCAAACATACATGCTCTTACATATAAAATAATGCTGAGGAAATATAGAAAAACATAGTTACTTAGAATCATTTATTTTTCAAATTTAAAATACTGTTTCTTGTTATTTTGTGGAGAACATCTAGCCAACTCAATTACTAAAACAGGGTTAGTTTAAAAATAGGATGTATAAGCTGTAAGTCAGCATACTGAACCAACATTTTAATTCTTCTTTCCAGCTAACTATTTCAGAACTTCTGATAAGAACAGTGGTCATTATTGAAAAACAGATTTTTGTTAAACTTGAGGAAACGATTATTAGGGGTTTGGGGGGTTTTAACCTGAAATTGTATGCCATTTGTGTTTTTAAGATCACTCTTTGGATGTGCTATGGTCCATGAACAGCAGTTTTCAGATAATCACAAGTAGGTGAGAAATAAGACAAGGGCAGGTTCAGGACTTAGTGTAGTTTGGACCTGGGGCAGTGAGTGTGCTCACAACCTTCAAAGACTTCTGGACTTCCAGGACTGGTCCACAATCTTCAGAAAAAGAAAAATCCTGGAGAAATTGAAGAGAACTGACTTTGCACCTAAGTAGGCTAAATATTAGATCAGAATAGAAGGTGATGTTAGAGTCCATAACTGGAAGGCAGTGTAGGGTGCACTGGTAGTGGATGCTGTTAGGACTGTGATTTGCCTCACACCCTCTTCCTGCAACTCTGGATTTGAGGTTGTTGTGGATACAAACCCTATGTACCTTCTCGCCTGCCTTCTTTTTCTTGACGGGATTGCCTGCCTCCCCCACCCTGCTGATGCCACCTTTGCCAGAGCCTTTGCCAAGCCTCCTTAGGTGGCTAGAGTCCAAATGGAGAAGCCCTGAGCCTATACTCCTCTCCCTGACTGAGCCCAAACTCTGCTGAGTCATCCTTCTGCTCCCAGCATGGATGAAATGTCACACTGTGGGGTGTGGGGTCTGGTTTCACTAAGGGGTTGAATGATTTAACTCAGAGTGCAGGGGAGTCTACTCCCTGGGAGCTGAACCTTGACTGATGAGATTCGGGACATTGCAGGGAACAGGGGATACATATTCCCTCTCCTGCCACCCCTGTGGACTGCTCTAAGATTTGATTTCTTCCTGAAGATCATCTGGAGAAGTTCCAGGTGCTGAGCCAACATCCCTGCCAAGAGTTGGCAGTCTCTTTATAGCTCAGTGTGAAACAGTGACCAGCATGGTCACACATCGCATTGCTTTGTTTCCCATCTTTTCTTGCCTCCATGCCCCTATTTCGTCACCTGTACCATCCTGGGTTTGCACTTCCCAAATAAAGGGTCGGCACTTTAATCCTTTCCTCAGGCTGTATTTTGTAGGAAAGCTTTTCTAGGAGAGAACGGCTCTCACTTTCCTGGAGTGCTGGCGTTTTCCCTGGTCCTACTCTCCGCTTTTCCCCACCCTGCCCTCGGCCCTGGGAAGCTGTTGAAC